CTTCTGCTCTAAGGCTGACCAGTCTGGATTTATTCGCGATTTCAAGAGAATGCACTTTGGGGAACAGTGGCAGTTGCGAGAACCTAAGCATAAAATGTTCTATAGGCCCTGCGCGAACTGTACGCAGGGCGTAGGTAGTACTTAGAGCTTAAGTGATTGATAAAATAGGGTTTATTAATTTATCTTACAGGCCAATTGAAAATGGACTGATATTTGTGTTGATTAACCGTACAAATCAACCCTACGTCAAAAAATCATTAATCGTTATATTCTTGCACGATATTTCAAGGCGCTCAAAATGCAGATATTTGCTGAAACCTGCACTGGTAAGACTTATCACCCTTAGGTAGAGGCAAGTGATCCTATCGTAAAATGTGGAAGGCCAAGATGCCAGACTCCAGGACAAAGAGGGCATCCCCCCGGATCAGCAGAGGTTGATCTTTGCTGGCAAGCAGCTGGAAGATGGTCGCACTCTGAGTGACTACAACATCCAGAAGGAGTCTACCCTTCACCTGGTCCTGCGTCTGCGTGGTGGCATGCAGATCTTTGTGAAAACCCTCACCGGTAAAACCATCACCCTTGAGGTAGAGGCAAGCGATTCAATCGAAAATGTGAAGGCCAAGATCCAAGACAAAGAGGGCATCCCCCCAGATCAGCAGAGGTTGATCTTTGCTGGCAAGCAGCTGGAAGATGGTCGCACTCTGAGTGACTACAACATCCAGAAGGAGTCTACCCTTCACCTTGTCCTGCGTCTGCGTGGTGGCATGCAGATCTTTGTGAAAACCCTCACCGGTAAAACCATCACCCTTGAGGTCGAGGCAAGTGATTCGATTGAAAATGTGAAGGCCAAGATCCAAGACAAAGAGGGCATCCCCCCGGATCAGCAGAGGTTGATCTTTGCTGGCAAGCAGCTGGAAGATGGTCGCACTCTGAGTGACTACAACATCCAGAAGGAGTCTACCCTTCACCTGGTCCTGCGTCTGCGTGGTGGAAACTAAAATTAATTGCAGTGATTATCTCGCTCTTTTTCTCATATTGCTAAAGTTTTTCACATTTAAATGAAGTTTCGTTTTGCTGTTGTGAATAACGATTCAGTTGAAATGAGATTCAGATCTTTAAATGAAACGTACCTCATCTAGGAACAGGTTTGCTATTGAACTGGCGTCATATTAGTCCGACACAGTAGATATTATTTTTCATTTAGAAACGTGTAAGATTTTGTTCTCACTTTTAGAACTGAGTAAAGCTTGCATGGAGTGTGCATCTAGCAAAATTGTGATTCACAGTACTCGATAATAAATGTTTTAAGCTACACATTTGTTTTCTATTTTTAGTTACTGGTGTATGAATGCTGTTTACATGGAAGTCGACCTGTGTGAATATAATTGATGAGCAATACACGTACATTTTCGTTCAGAAATATTTTCGTAGATTAGCTTGATCAATTAAATCGTTCATGAGAATCTTCTGCGGATTCGCAGATTTCCGGGTTTTGGTTTTCATTTTGATCATTCTTGAGATCGATGCAAAAAAACGGATAAAAATTTGAGGGGGGTGGGGTGTACTTTTCGTGTCAAAGTGGATGCCATTTTTAATTTGAACTTCATAACAAGTGCCGCGGAGCGACAGCGCTCATCTAACGTCTACTGCG